CCAATCTATTTCACAGGGTTCTTTTGTGGGAAATCCGCATATAAACTATGTTGCAATGTATAGAAGGAAGGAAGGAAATGATACATTACTTAGCAGTAAATGGGAACAAACTACCCTATGTGAAATACATCTAATTTTTTCCAATATCAATCCTCAGATGTTTTAACACAACTAGTAACACAAGGTTGGATAAAGGAGATGGTGAACGCTTCCTTGAGAAGAGGGATGATGCCGCAATTTTGAAAGACTTGGTAATGTGCCCCATCCTCAAAAAGCAATCATTTGACCTGGCTGTTCTGGATAATTAGTGTTCTGTCTCCAACCTTTCTCTTTTAGGCAAGATAAGGTTACCACAGCAATTAAAGGGGACTCTGGATGAAGCAAATTAGCTGGATCCCTGGATCCAGTCAGGCTTCAGGCCTGGGAATGGGGTGGAATTGCATTGGTCACTCTTGTGGATGATTGTGGCAGGACTCATGTGGTGCACCCTCCCCCAAGAATCTGGATATCTCTTAGCAGTATTCAATATCATTGACCATGGTGTCCTTTTGGACCACCTGCAAGGGTTGGAAATCATGGTCACTGTTCTACAGCAGTTCTGCTCCTTCTGGATTGGACAATTCCAATCAGCATTGGTGTGGGAAGAGAAGCTGAGCCCTTCATTGCTTGGACTTTTTCACTATTTTTTAAATATCTAGGAAGTCACTGGGAGAGATCATCCATCAGTTTAGGTTAAGTTATTAAAGGTAGTCCTTGACTTATGACCACAATTGGGACCGGAACTTCCGTTGCTAAGCAATGCGGACATTAAGCAAGTCGCATCCAATTTTATGACCTTTTTTGCTGTGGTCATTAAGCAAATCACACGGTTGTTGAGTGAACCTGGCTTCCCCCACTGACTTTGCTTGTTGGAAACCCTCTGGGAAAGTCGCAAATGGCAATCATGTGACCCCAGATCGTTGCAACAGTCAGAAAAACATGCTGATTGCCAAGTCCCCAAATTTTGATCATGCGACCTTAGGGATGCTGCAACGGTCGTAAGTGTGAGGATCAGTTGTCCCCTTTTTCAGCGCCGTAGGTTGTTAAATGAGTGGTCATAAGACGAGGACTACCTCTATGTTTTTTAAAAATAATTTTTATTGCTTTTTAAATAAAATAAAAAATAAAAAAACACAAAAATAAGTTTTTTTCCCGTTCTTCTTGATAGTGAACCTGTATCTATATGTTGATGAAAGCCAGTAATACATATCCATCCCAGGCTGATTAGGTGATGTGGTGGTAGTCTCGATCTAGTACCTGGGGGCTGTGAGAGTCTGGATAGTCTAGGACAAACTCAGACTGAAATCCAGCCAGATGGAGTTAATATTGGTGCAAAAGCTATTAATAATGGATATTACATATTAATGGGGTTGAAAGAGCAGCTATAAATTGTTCAGGATGAAACAGGTTCATGATTCTGTTTGGAGAAGGGCTAAAGAAGTGGAACTGAGATGATTTCACCTTACGCACTGCCCACCTCAGCAATATTTCTGATGTGATGTATGTAGCCCCATGGGAAACTCACTTTTATGTAAACCTCTTTGCAAAATTCACATCTTCACGTCTGTCATGAACTTCTCCTGTGACTCACCCAAGGAAAAACAAAGCTTGGTATGCATGAGTTTATTTGAGGAGATTTGGGCCATAATGAAAGGGCATTGCAGGAGAATGTGCAATTGTTTTTTCATCCTGCCATCACTAAGTTTCCTCACCAGAGGTCTAATTGTGGGAGATGTCCACAGTGAAAATATTTCTCAGAAAACATGTTTCTTCACTCCCTGACTTTGCTTTCTTGTCTCACTAGCTGTGCTAGTGATCTAATAGCATTTTTCTCTCTGCATATTTTGGCAGCGTCCCACCTCCTGGCAGACCAAATTGTCTGAGGGAAGTGAAATGCCTGCATATTGTTAACCTTAGACGGCGAGATGCATATAGATTGCAGAAAGAGACCCCTAAAGACCCGAGTGTCACTCGATTGCTGTTTGTCTTCTTGGGGTCTCCCAACCAGAGGAAATGAAGCTGGAAAAGAGGTGGAAAACCAGAGAGGGAGAGGAACGATCAAACTTGCACGTTTCCAATGGCATTACGTGAACAAATAGAGAATCCGTCTGCCAGAATGGGCTTGTGTAACTTTGCAAACGTGCCAGAAACTTTAAATCCCTCATCTCCTCCCCCTTTCCGCCCTCCCTCCAATTCTCTCTCTCTCCTGCTGCTTCATTCCAGACTTCAGCGAAAGCGAGGACGGGGCGAAGGGCTTGTTGCTGCTGCTGCTCCTCCCCAAACCCATCTCGCTGCATTGGGAGGAAAAGAAAGACAACGAAGGAGACTCCCTCTCTTTGCATTTGAGCGCGAAGTAAAGTCGGAGGCCTAGAGCTGGGAAAGTAAAAGAACAAAGCTGCAAACTGCTACATTTGACTTCTTGCGCGCCCGTTCCCCGCGTAGCGTCGTCGAGTGGAGTTCCCGCTCGCTTTTGAGAGAGACACGCCGTCGCCATGCGCCTCCACTCCCGGACGCAGCTTCTCCTGGGTCTTGCCCAGCTGCAAGCGTGCGTCTATTGGAGCTGCCTGCTGTGGCTGCCGGCGGGCGGGCTACCCCCGAGGAATCCACCGCCACCCCCTCCCGCCATGTGGAGACAGCGGATTCAATGGGAGAACAAAGGGCAGGTGTACAGCCTCCTCAGCGTCGGCTCCCAGTATCAACCCGCGCGGCGCAGGCACAGCGAGGAGCCCGCGCAAAGCGGCCACGTTCTGCTCCTCCGGGGCAACGCCACTTCTCCTCGCAGGGCGCCGGGCAGCGCCGCAGGCGGAGGCGCTACTGCCACCAGGAAGCCAGAGGCACAGTACTGGTTCCAAGCCGGCTACCAACAGCCGTCCAGCAGAAATGGCACGGACGGAGGCCGCAGGGCTGAAGGCGGCGCCAGCTCCCAAGACCGAGGCCAAGGGAGCCCCGTCGAGAGCGCCACCGCCAGGACCGGCAACGGGACTGGATTTTCTCTAAGCAATCTCCAGCAGCCGCCCCGCGAAGACATCATGGTGGGGGACGACCCGTACAACCCGTACAAGTACACGGACGACAACCCTTATTACAACTACTATGATACCTACGAGCGGCCCCGACAGGGTAGCCGCTATCGGCCGGGGTACGGCACCGGTTACTTCCAATACGGTAAGCGCGCGCATTTCTGCCACTCACACCAAGCGGTGGGACAGGCTTGCCCTGGCTTGCGGTCGCCCGCAGCTAAAAGGAACGAGGTGAAGAGTTGCACATTTGCGCTAAGGAAGTCATTTGATCTACATGCATATGTCGAGTTAGCCTCAACCGCTTGAGTCTGCAGCGGTGTCCCTCCAGAACGCGAGCTCCGCTCCGCTCCCCTCCGCTCCCCTCCCCACCCCCAGATCCAACCCAGCCGCGTGGCAAGTCCCTCCCTTCTCGGCAGACTGCGGGCTTTCACCTCGGCCAGCCCGACATCCGCTGATCACCATCTGGTCCCAACTCTCCCCCTCGCCCTGTAGTCAGTCCGGATCTTGCAGTAGAAAATAAATTGTTGGAAATAAAATAATGCAAAACAGCACAAAGCTGGGGCTACGAGGAGAGAGACAGAGAACGTTCATTCTTCTAGAGCAGTGACCATTCAGGGGGTGGAATTTCCAAAGGGGGAAAAACGTTTAATTATTGGCAGTGGTTCATTTTCTTAGGTAGATTGCAGTCCTTTTTGTATATACATTTATTAGGATATAATCAGCTTGCCCTTGATGTTAGATGTGACTATTCCATGGCAGAAAGAAAGCTTTGTAGGTATAGTAGTCAAGGGTACTTGCATTATTTCAAGTGCTGCTATGCAGAGGGTTCAACTGCTGGGGATGAACCTTGGAAAATAGAAGCGTAAATCTCCTAGATAACACTCAAATCCAAAGTAGGCCGCCTGTTGGCTTCATTCTGAGGTTTATCTTTGGTTGTAATTGGGTTAATTTGGATTATAGCCTACTTAATGGATGTTCACAGCCTTTTGTTTGAGAAAGACAGTAAGCATAATTTATTGTTCTAGACACATTTCTGGTGTCTGGCAAACTTATTGTTCTCATCAGCTGGTGGCCGTATGGGGAGAATGCCTTTAAGATTTAAGAAAAAAATGATTAACAGGATAATATGCTGTATAATATTTCCAATCTGGAAGACACATTGTATTTTAATGTTTCTTTTGATCTTCTGAAAAGTGACTCTTAGTCTTATTAAATGACTATGTGTATAGGCTTCCAATTTGTTGTACAGCGACTAGAAAGTGCAACTTTGATTGCCTTTTTTTAGGAATGAATTTTGTAGACATTTCCTGGGCCTGATCAGTTTTGTGTGTTTGTGATTTGATGCACTGCAGGATTGCCTGATTTAGTGGCAGATCCCTATTACATTCAAGCATCCACTTACGTCCAAAAGACATCCATGTACAACCTGAGGTGTGCTGCTGAAGAGAATTGCCTAGCTAGGTAAGTACAGGGATGGCCTTGATTTCATATCCTCATAAAATACCTGCCTGTTGGAAAGACTGTTGAATGAGTTCAGCCTTTGCCAATCTGAAAACCTGCTTATTTTTGGGGAGTACAACTCCCAGTATTCCAACCTTTGCCCATGTTGAACTGGGAATTCTAGTAACGCATACATATTTGGAGAGCACTAGATTGAAGAAGGCTAAATTAGAGAATACAGGCTTATAAAAGAATTACCTTTATGAGGCACATATATACACTTGCACATTATTGTTCAATGTCCAGGATACTTTAGCAAAGATTTTGAAATATCACTGGTAACTTTACAAGAGGGAGATAGACATAATTTCAATAGAACTTAAGCAGTGGAGAATTCCTTTACTATTCCAATTCATAAAACATATTGTTGTTATTAATGTCTGCTGAAAGCTTGATGACCAGGTTACAAGGTTTCCATGCCCTGATTGTTTAGGAATTAATCCCTTACCAGGATCTGTTTTTCATTAATCCAGAGCTTTATTAATTTTTGGAGAGAAGGCCCCTTTGAACACATTACTTTGTAAGTAATAGAAGAAAGTGGTTTTTAAATTGCTGTTTGATTGCTGTAATTTCCAGTGTATTTATCAACCATCTCCCTGCTCTAATCTATTTTTTTAACCTATTGCTTTTCAGCATCTAGATTAATTGATAATCAGATATCAAATCACAATCAGTGCAGTTCATTTCATAATGAAGCTGTAATCGAATGCACACATGTGGAAGTAAGTTACATTAAATGCAGTGGGGCTTTCATAAACATGCATTAGGATAAAGCTGTAAGATGATAATACATGATACCAGGGGTCTGCAAAGCACTCAGAAGAGGTCCCTCAGAAAGCCTGTTACTACAAAGCACCTCTCTCTGAAGCTGTGTCCTTTACAAGGTTTGTGCTGCTAGTTTGAAAGCTGTGTCTCGTTGTTTGCACATTAATGTGCATGCACACACAACACTGGGGCTGCTAGTAAAGGATATGTGCCCGTAGAGAGCCACAGTTCCTGTGCACACATGTGAAGCACCCAAGGACAGTTTCCAAAGCAGCCAACAAGGTTTGAAAGGGCGTTGCTGCTTAAACACTAAAAATGCTTTAATATACTTTGTGAAGCACTGCTTTTGAATGCTTTGCACAGCCTTAATATATATAGTGACTTGAAATTAAGCCCAGTTGAACTGGACGAGACTTGCTTGCAGTACAGATGTTGCAAGCTAATTTATGAACAGAGCTACGTCTGACAACCTACACGTTTGATTCATCCTTGACCACGTCAGTGGTAAAAAGAAAAAGCTGTGTATCATTTAGAGTTAAGTTCCAAATGGGTTATTATTTGAATAGAAATATTATATAACACAGCCTATAAAACTAATTCATAGGAGTGTTAGTCTAGATTTGATTAATATTAAACTTGAGGTAGTTAACTGTTTTCTTGGATATAGTTGTAAGTCTAGTGAGTTTTTCTTCATGGGAATAAAATTAAACCGCAGAGGAAACTAGGAATATTACACGATTCCAGCTAATTTTTTTCTGTTGAGCTTTTAATCAGAAAAAAATATTGACAAGACAAATGAATTCTGCTGCAATTGATGGGGAAGAACGAAGTGGAGAATCAAGGGAAGTGAACAACAGAAAGAATAGGTAGAAACAAATCTGATAGAAAAATTGGATTGGGTAGGCCAATAATTTCCATGATTTCTGAAAGAAACAAAAAACCTGAATGTATAGTGACCTTAATCAAAGGAAGAAATTTAATTAGAAAAGTGTTTGAGAAAGTCTGCCAACCAGTAGCGTTTGGCTGTATTTTATATAGTATTAAATCAAAATGGAAATATTTTATCGTCTATTTTATTTTTGAAATTATGAATACTGACACAGAAGACTGTGTATACACTGCTGATAGTAGTTCCATGTTTCCTCTAAATGAAGGCTCTGATTCAACTAAAAACTTCCATATTTTTGTTGTTTAGAGAGAATAAGAAACATCAATTAAATTGCACAATCTTTTTCTAATATAGGCATTCCATAAAAATTGTTAAGCAGCTTTAGAATCTTAAAAAGAGTGGATTTTCAGTGGGTTGGATCCTAGTTAGTCATGCTTAAGGTGGACCATTGAAATAAATGGGATTGATGTTAGTGCTGATCAACTTAACTCCCCATTGTTTTCACTGATGAAAGCTGCATTAAACCTGATGAATTCTGAGAGGATGTATTCAACTACACAAAAATATAAATGTGACATTGTAAGCTAAAACCTACTTGTTAAACAATTTTGCTCTTCCTTTTCATATGCATATTCTTGCAGCTCAGCTTACAGGTCTGATGTTAGAGACTATGATAACCGAGTACTTCTGAGATTTCCGCAGAGAGTGAAAAATCAAGGTACATCAGATTTCTTACCAAGCCGACCACGATACTCATGGGAGTGGCACAGCTGTCATCAGTGAGTGAAGTGTTCAGTATGGTACTTTTTGATTATGTTCATTTGTTATTTACTGTTTTTTCCCCTCCACACCTCTTGCTGCTGCTGTGTGGAAAACAGTCTCAAAGATCTAGAACTACAGCAAGCCAGATTTGAAGGGGAAAAGATGATCTGGAGCAAGCATAACCCTGCATATCACACTTGTTGGCAGCTCCTTAAGTCAAAGTCAAAGATGTCTTTTCCTGGGTTGCACTGTGTAAGTTCAAGAAGTTACCTTCTTTACCAACTTTACCAAAGCTGCACTTGAAATTACCAACAGATGAGATGATAGTGCACCCATATTCTCTGAATAACCATTTTCCTTTGAATTACAGCCCAAATAGGAAGTATTTCAGATATCAAAGATGCATTGCCTATTTTAAACATATTAACAATAGTGCATAATTTGGGTGTAAACACAATAATGATACAATACCAAATTTGGATAGGAGGTGGGTAGCACCAATCAATTTAATGTTTGTATAAACATTAATACCAACCAAATTTAGTTGAAAAGAAAGCATAAATTACATTTAAGTGTATCTGAAAGTATGCTAAAATACTGTAATGGAAGCAGTGGGTGGGGGAAGGCATCTAATTGTGGAGGATTTTTCCTTCTGTGTAAATAAGAATTATCTGCATATAAAAATACTGCAGAGGTAATGGTTAACTTGCTTTTTTATTATGAAAACACTAGCAAAAATCAGAACACAGCTTTTGGTCCTTACCTGCTAGTTGGCAATCTATATGACTTTAGATCATAAAAGTGACATTCATTTTGTAGCATGTGGGATTTCATTTTCTATTCAATATCTCAAGGTTCCCCAACCCGGTGCTTTTTAGATATACGGGGACTAGAACGCTTAGAATTCCCAGCCAGAGTAAGGAAAATATATGCTGCCTGGGATTTCTAGGATTTGCAATTCCAACATGCCTAGGAGATACCTGGTTAAGAGAGGCTGAGATTTGGGCTGATATCTGGGCTGCAAAACTCTGGGTGACAATTAGAGGGCAGTAAAGAGATATAGCTAACCAGATTTTTGGAGCTGGATATGGTGGCCATAAGCAGCAATAGCAGAATTAACTGGAAAGAAAATGGTGAACACGCTTCTAACAGTCTATAAAGTGACAGTAGAACTGCAGCATACAAAAAAATTGTGTATAAGTAGAACAAGAAGATCACTGAAGCAATGAGTATGAAACTGAGCACACTCCGGGAGGCAGTGAAGGACAGGAAGGCCTGGCGCGATATGGTTCATGGGGTCACGAAGAGTCAGACACGACTTAACAACTGAACAACAACAGAACAAGAAGATAACCCAAGAACCTTAATCTTAATTTATTTTGCGTATTTTATTAGGCCCATCAAAAAAAGGAAACATTTCACAAACAGAAGGGTCTTTGAATTTATGAGATGTAACATTTTTAGTCAGATAAATTGTTAAAACAAGACTAACAGTGGGTGGCTCTACTTTCCATATTTAGCCCCTTACTTAATCTAATAGGAAATTTGGAAATTTGTCTATTGCTTTGTTTTTAAACAACATAAAGCAATTTTCTTAAAAACTTATCTATATCTGTCTATCAAATTTATATGGCCACCCATCTCAGAAGCAGTGACTCTGGTAGACATACAACACTGAATTAAAAAAACAATAAATATATAAAACCAATCATGATTAAATATAATATATTTAATTTTAATATAATCAT